TATCCTCTATGTCTGCTGGAGGTAGGACAAAAGTAATGGGCTTAATCTGCAGCAAGGGAGATTTAGGTTAGATATTAGGAAAAACTTTCTAGCCACAAGGATATTTAAGCTCTGGAATAGGCTTCCAAGGGAGCCCATCTTTGGAGGATGGAGCAGGTTGAGCAAATATTTGTCAGGGATGGTCCTGCCTCAGCACAGGAGGCTGGACTTGATGAAGCCTCATGGTCCCTTCCAGCCCTACATTTCTCTGATTCTATTATTAAGTCCCGGGGTAAAAATTTCAGAAATGTCTAATTGACTTAGGAGCCTGTCACATTTTTAGAAGTGATTTAGGCACTTAGGAACCTAATGCCCCATTGAAATTCATGGGATTCAGGTTCCTAAACAGATCACGGTGACTAGTAAATTAGCTGCAAAATGCATTTTGACGGCACCAAAATGGTGAATTTGGGGTGAATTTGGTGACTAGTTTTCGCCAAAAAAAGGAAAGTTTTTTTTTTCAGGTTGAAACGGTGTGTTAATGTTTCTATGTTTTGTTTTGATTTTTCATTTCGAAATGGCATTTCATTTTAAAATTTAGCTAATTTAAACCACCAACAACAATAAAAAAACACAACAAATGTGAAAAACATGAAAAAATACCCAAAACAAAGCAAGGAAACAAAGTTAGTTAGTTAGTTTCTGGTCAAATGAAACATTTTGTTTAATCCAAAACTATTTGGCTGAACAAGAAGTAGGACTGAGTGGACTTGTAGGGTCTAAAGTTTTACATTTTTTTTTTTGAATGCAGTTATATCTTTGTACATAATTCTACATTTGTAAGTTCAACTTTCATGATAAAGGATTGCACTTCAGTACTTGCATTAGGTGAACTGAAAAATACTATTTCTTTTGTTTTTTACTGTGCAAATATTTGTAATGAAAAATAAATATAAAGTGAGCACTGTACACTTTCTATTCTGTGTTGTAACTGAAATCAATATATTTAAAAATGTAGAACACATCCAAAATATTAAATAAGTGGTATTCTATTATTGTTTAACAGTGCGATTAATCACGATTAATTTTTTTTAATCGCTTGACAGCCCTAATAGACATAATATGCATACATCTTGTCACCCCCAATGGAGTTTCCCAGACACTTTAAATTAAACACACTGGATTAGAAAAAAACAAGAAAATAAGTTTATTAACTACAAAGAGAGAGATTTTAAAGAGTACAAGTAATGAAGCATAAAAGTCAGAAATGGTTATGAGAATAATAAAGAAAAAAACGCTACTAGTGCTTAACTTAATAAATTATGTTAAATTCAAAACTTTTTTCACCGCATGCTGTCAGCAGTATCACTGACCAAACTTCTTAGGTCAGGACCCCTTTTCCAGTTCAATGGCTGCTTCCTTTGTCCTTTCTGGTGCAGTGAATCGATGGGCAGGGGGCGAGGGGTGTCTTGGGGTGCTTGTCCCTCCTTTTTATAGTGTCAGTCCCCCTCGAGAAACATTTCCAGTGGAGATTCAGGAGAAAAAGAGTCTATGGAGAAGGATGTTCCCTGCTGGTTTCCCTCACCTGTTTGAGATTTCTATGTCTACCCTTCCTGCCTGATGATTCTCTTTACCACTGAAATGCAAATTAAACAGAGCATCCATTCCTTTGTTTGAGACACGCCTGTTTGCCAACTCCTGCTGTGGTTTGGAACATGTATTAATGACATTATATAATGAAATATTGTAACTTCACATACAGCGTTGCCACACATATTTTATTAGGAGAATATTGACCTGCAAATTATGAGGTTTCAGATGATACATCGCAAGGCATCCTTTGTAGAAAGATTATTACAGTAGTGTGTAGAGTACGGATACGGGTACATTCTGTCACAGTGACAAAAAAATTTCAATTTTGGTTTGAACTGAACTGAATTTGTATTTGGATTTTTCAGTTTGCCCCTTCCCTCCTCTCTTAACAACAACAACAAAAAAAATCAATTATTCTTTTAGCTCTAGTCCTAAGTGCTTAAGTCTCTTTTGAAAATGGCTCTTAGGCGTTTGGACCCTTGAAAATGATACCCATGCTCTCCATGGTTTCGGTCACGGGTGTGATTTTTTTTTTAACCAAAATATTTAACTCAGCATAACATCGATTTAACTGTATCCTCACTAGGAGAGTGGTAGGTTTAATGTGGTGTCATGCTTTTTTTTTAAATGACACATGCTGAAAAGAGAAAACTTTGGCAGAGAGTTAAGCTGAGGTGAGGGAAAAAGAGGAGTGCAATAGTTATATATAATGTTACCTCAGCATTCCTCTAGCCCCTCACCCCAAATGTGTTTCTGTCTATCATTTGTGCCCTTCAGAACTCCTATGTGCCACCACTTCCTTTGCCATCTTTGCCAATGGAAATGATACTAACTCTTTCTCTCAGGGAGGTTGTGAGGGGAGCGAACACAACAGTCATTGTGTACTATAGGTATCTCAGCAAGCGTTCTGGTGTGTGTGGCTTTATTCCTTCTTCTAGAACTAACACATTAATTTTTTTTAAATAGAAAGATTCCTGTCAGAACAGAGAGTGGCTGCAAATGGTCCATGATTGTCATGGGTCCGTGGAGCGCTCCTCGCTGTCTCAGGCCAGGGCCATCAATGGCAATGGGATTTTTATCATCTCCACACCTCAGAAATTCAAGGTAAAAGTTCAGCAGCATTTAATACAAGGCCCGTATTTTCAAAGTGACGTTGGCTGCCCAGCTTGAGCTGCCTGAAAGAGGCCTAGTTTTCAAGGGTGGGGGCTGTGGTATATTAAAAGCTCTGTTAAAATGGGACGCTGTCACTTTAAATTTCAGAAGTTTTTCCTGATCCTGCTTGCAGGCTCTAGGGAGACATGCAATCAGAGTCAGTCTGGAAAGAGCCAGCCTGGAGCAAGGTGGAGTGAGTTGTGCCTCATCTACACTACAGGGGGGAGTCGATTTAAGATACGCAAATTCAGCTACGTGAATAGCGTAGCTGAATTTGACATATCGCAGCCAACTTACCCTGCTGTGAGGACCGCGGCAAAATCGACCTCCGCGGCTTCCTGTCGACGGCGCTTACTCCCACCTCCGCTGGTGGAGTAAGAGTGTCGATTAGGGGATCGATTGTCGCGTCTCGACGGGACGCGATAAATCGATCCCCGAGAGGTCGATTTCTACCTGCCGATTCAGGCGGGTAGTGTAGACCTAGCCTCAGGGAGCAGCCTGTTCTTGCTCTCACTCTCTCTGTTGGGATCCTTGTGTGGTGTTGTTATGAATTCTAAGAAATAAAGTAGTGTCATGATGCAAACTTCCAGCAAGAATATTATATATTTATTTAACTTCTCTGTGTGTGCCATGAACATAACAGGAGCTCAGCACTGTCTGAAAATCAGCCTCTTTTAAAAAGGGCCAGATTGGCCCCCCCAAAATCACTAATCACCAAGTCTATGGACTTAGAATTATCCCTTTTCCCCATTTTGACCTGGTTCATACTAGAAGCTTGAGACCCAAGAGTTGGAATCTGGCCATGATTATCAGAAGCAACTAATGATTTTGAATATCCAGTTGGAAACATCTTAATGATGGGTGCTCAGATGTGTCTGAAAATCAGGCTCCTTTAAGATGTTTAAAGTTGGTCCCTAAAAAATCATAGCACCCCAAATAATCTAATAAGCAATAATAATATTGCTTCTGCATATCTTTGGCCCTCTGTACATAATACCTTCAAAGATCTAGAATGAATCTTCCACTTTTACTGTCTTGGACTGATAAGATTAAATGAGTACATTTCTACGATTAAAATGCTTGCAGAATAACAGATTCTGAAATGCTTTGTATTGGCCTTGATGGGTGCGCATGTTGCTCCCACAGAATAAAGACACAGCAGCATTTATCTTTAACTCTGTTTTCCAGCCTTCTCTGGATAATTGCATTTCACTGCTGCTGCCAGGGGATGTCGCGGAAAAGGTTGCTCAAGGAGACCAGACAGACAAGACGGATTCTAGAACGTACAGCCTGGCTCAGCTCACGGAGCTGCAGAACAAGCTCATGCTGATAGCCACAAAGGCTGAGCAGGGCAGAGAAGAGGTGAACAGGTTCCTGGAGGTAAATCCCGATCTCTGCATTAACCAGAAAATGTGAGACTTTTTGCACTTCTGTATATTTGTGCTTCACTTTGACGGGAAGATCCATTTCTCCAGCAACATGCCTTCCTGATGCAGAACTGATGTTTTGGAGGAGACTGTCTCGTGCCTTTAGTTCAGTCCTAGGAGGCCAAGATAGGAACTTAAGCTGGTCAAAATTCGGAATTTCCATTCCACAGGAGATTCCAATTTTTTTAAATTTGTTTTCATTCCACATAGCAACAAAAACAACAAAAAAGGAAATGTCAGATGAAATTACATTTTCAAAACACAAACTCAGAGTGGCCACAGACCAGGTGCAGCTCTGAGGGTGTGAACAGGCAACTGGTAGCTCTTGGGAGGAGGGCTGGGTGGGAAAGAGTTTTCCTATCTTGTAAGAATTTTTAACATTTTGAAATTATTTCCCTACTTGAATCGGGTCAAAAAGTCTAAATGTCAAAATTTTTCGCTAACTGAAAATCCAAAATTTATTTTTTTAAGTTCAGGTATATTTTTCCCATTGATGGTGATTCACATTAAGGGTATGTCTACACTACGAGAGTAGTTCGATTTTACTTAAATCGAATTTTTGGAATCGATAT